AGTGCAATTATAAATGATTACATGAAAGTTGGTTGGATGTGACATGTGCAGTGCTTTGGTGAAATGTATTAATATTGAAAATGAGCTAACATATAAATTAAACTAGTGTTAATTGCATACTACCAATTTTCATTAGACAGGTCAATTTAAGCACAAATTTACTCCCATATTATGAATAAATTATAAATGTAATTTTAAAATGAGAATACAAAAAAAAATAATAATAATGATAGCTCATTTTTGTAAAAATCTATACATAAATGTGGAATTCCAACTATCTGTAAGATACCAGAAATAGAAGAAAATTATGTAATGATGAAGAATTTAATTGGTTAAAAATGTGAATTATTTCATCAAGAAATTTCAAGTCAAATTTTTTAAACATTTTTCGTATTCAATTAAAAAAAAAAACTGCCGGAATTCTGAATTTAATTTCATCACATGATAACCAGCTTGTTGTTTGACTTGTAAAACTAGTTTTGGGGAATGTAATTTTTGATACGAGATGAAAGATGTGGCCGTGTCACGTCGTCGGCTGCTGAAATGCGCCGCTCCAAATATCTCATCGGCACCCAAGGCATTGTGTTCAGTGGCGGCGAGTGTGAGAACACGCCACTGGAAATTCTCGTGTATGTAATTGCGTTAAATAATAATGAGCTGCACCCGAGTGTGCGCGCGGCCATTACTCTCGGAATGGCTGCTGCTAATCAGACGGGATAATTAATGAGATAGCAACGCAGCATGCAAGTGGCGCGCATCTAATTATCTTTCTCTCTCGCACTGCCGAGCGACACCGACGAATAAAAACGCTTATTTTATTGAGGAAACTCTGCCATAAACTGATTCCATGCGCATTTATTATTTTGCCACTCGGCATTTTTTCTTACGCCATCTCCAGGGTGATTCCATTCACCTGATTTCCCTGCTTCAATATAATAGGCAACCAAAGCTGATTAAGTTTTGCTGCTCGGAAAGGCTCGAGAGGATTTTGTGCGATGACCAAAAAAGACTGTTTTTCGTATATCAGCTTGACTGGTTTCAGTTTTCAGAGAAGGGGCAGTCATGCTCAGCTGAGCTGCTCTTTGTGTAGGTGAATTTTGAATAAATTGAAAATTCAGGTTTTTCTTTTCATTAAAACTAATTAAAATATTCAAATCAGAACCATAATAAATAAATTGGTGTACCGATTTTAGTTGTAGTTTGTCCACCCCAACACTGCTATTACTTGATATAATAGATTTATCTTTGTAAAAAGCTTTCTAATTAGGAAAAAATTATTAATAAAATTGTAAATTTTATCAACACCTAATTTTTTTAAAGCAGTATAAATAATTGTTTTTTGCATTAACATCAATAAATGCTATTATTTTATTTATTTTAGTTAATTTTTTTTATTTTGAAACAAAGAAATTAACATCTGATTTTGTAAAACTAAAAATTTTACTCATATTTTATGTAATATATATTGTAATCACAGTATCAACTCTCATGCTATGGTTAAAATACCACTAGATGAAGTGTTTCTGTGTTTTTATGTTCACGATATTATAAATTTAAAATACAACCAAAAAGATAATATCATTTTTTGAGAATTAAAAACCCAAAGAAACCACTCAGAACGGGAAATAATTTAAATTAGTACTTTTGACTAAACACCTTTTACGTGGAATTACGTCTCGGAACGTAATTCCACGTAAAAGGTGTTTAGTCAAAAGTACTAATTTAGATAATATCATTATATCATTTTTTGCAGTTCAAAATTTATTGTGTAGTTGTCAATTAATTTATTGACCTGGAATTTCCCTCACTCTGAAATAAAATTGTATAATGTAAGTTAGACTTTTCTAATATTATTCCTAAATATTTTTGAAGTAATCTATTTTACAAAAATTTCAGTCGCCCTTCCATGATATTTAATTTAATTTTATTTCATTTTAGTCCTTTTGAGACATGCGAAAATTTGCTCAAATATATAAATGAACAGCGGCGCTTTATTTATTTATTTTTTTTTTAAATTTCCCCTTTTCTCTCTAATTGAGGGAAATTGCATCAAGATCAATGGGCCCGTTAGCCTTGGCTGACACTGGCAATTAATTACTCGGATAGTGAGAGAGCAGCAGACGGACGCAAATTTGCATTCAAACGACGTTCGCATCTATTTCAGGCTCCAGCATGCAAAGAGAGGATCGAAGTCGCCAGAGCAAAAAAGCAGCATCATTATCGGGGGGACGCTTTCATTTTTATTGAATTCGCAGCCGGTGGCGGCAAATTAGTTTTGCCGCCATCATCCATTTCAATTCCAGCCACGACTAATCCGAGTAATTCGCAGCAATTTCTTCTTGATTGGCAGAAATTCCCTCGTCACCCACGCACGTGTGATGCGAAAGGTCCATGCAAATTCTGCAAGGCTTTCACGTACGCGATAAAATGACAGATTCGCAATCTCCTGCCGAGAAACCTTTGCTAAATAGACACGAGTCGTTTCTCTTCTGCCACAATGTAATTTGTCTTAATAATTCAAACGTGTAGTTTGTCTCTGCTCGTAAAAAGCCGTGACGTGATGGGTTGGTATTTAATTTTTAACGGGCCTGTCAACTCGAGTGTTTCTTCGTACAATTCAGCCGTGACATGATTCAATTTTTCTTCTTCAAAACAATTGCAACAAGAAACGTACTTCATCAATTTCCATTTGGAGGCCACGTAAAAAAAAAACGAAGCTGTTTGTTTTTTAGTTTTTAACTTTAAAAGACATAATACTTTTTGATTAATTTGTTTTGCAATTTTCTATTAAGAAAAAGTTTAAAATTCAATTGTTTTGAGATATCATGATTATTGCAAGAGCTGTTTTCAATACAATCCATGAATGAAAATGGAAAGAAATAAAAATTGCTCCTTATCTATAAAATAGACCGAGTAAGAGGTTGACATATTTACAACTTCTACTAAAAAAAATACAATAAACATTGAAAATAAAAAATAAATAAACATTTTTAAGACAAACAAAATTTTTTTAGTTCACTTTTTCAATAATCTTTATGTCCTTTGCAAATTGTGTTTTTATGGTTCAATGTATTGTGTAAAAATTAAAAACAATTTTTTAGAAATTTTCCCAAAAAAAAAAAATATTTTCGAAATCTTTCTGAATACTGTTTTAAGAATTTATATGAAATATGAATAATTATGCTTTGCAGAATTTCAACATTGAATTTTGTTGACGTTTGACAAAATTTTAATTTGTCTATTATATCATAAGAAACTGCTATCAATTAATTTTAATTTATAAAATTTGGAAAATGACTCGCTCTAATTTGATACGAGACTTTTCCATTTAAAAATTTATTTTAATATTTATTTTTTTTTCTTTTTCCTTCGCAATTTTTGCATGAACATAAAGGAAATTTAATATTTTTAATTTGCTAATTATTATCCTGTACTTTTTAAATTGATAAAATCACATCTTACAAAAATAATTTTCGCAAAAAAATTCAATTGTTGTCTATTCATATAATTTCACCTCTTGGCATGGATATATGTCCAGCCTCTGGCTCTTTCTGCACTCGCAAATAACCATTATCACGAACCACTCGTTTGCCAACCGTAATTTCATCAAGAGCATACCTACTGCCAAATTGAAATGGACCTCCTTATATGGAAGTGCAGCTTTTAAATTCCGCACAGCTGCTCACTTATCTCCTTCACTTTGACATTTTCGGCCGCCATATGTCCGAATTCGAGTCAATTTCACTTATAGAAATCGCGCCCGTGGGCCTTTACACACATCAATCTATCAGCCAGCAATGACTCAATTGCATCACGAGGAAAACAGAAAGCAGACACTCGGCAAAAAAAATTTATAAATTTACATCTGCGATCGTGTGTCGCGCAGCTGTGGCGAAATAAAAACAAAAATCGGCTCTTTGTCATTCGGAGACTGATTGAATATTTGTCACACGACGGACGGTTAATGTTGCGTGGTAATTGCGCTCATTAATGAAAGACACAGAGACAATGATTATTTCCAGCTTGGCGAACAATGGGGTCCGTGAACTGGCTCTTTTCACGGCTCGCTGCCTAATATGCATGGGAACAGGGCGTCGCGCAAAAAACTGCGTTCGATCACGTGGCCAAATTCGATTCTTTCTTCTTCTTCTTCTATAAACTCATTATAATAATATATTCGCGCAAATGAAACTCTCGTAAATCAGACTGTCAGATTCGAGCTATTATATTTTTTGATATCGCGTCCGTCGACAAGGAAAACTCGTAAAGAACGGGTCACGGTCTTGATGCTGTGTAAACAATGGTGTCCGACCCAACGAGCTCATTACTGATTTTGCATCCCACGAGGGCTCCGCAGCCTTGACCTGTCGCGAATCAAACCACGCAGCCGGTGACACGCCCACGTCGTATGCCAATAATTTGCGCGCGATGTGTGTACTTTGTACTTTGCGCGGCCCACACTGTCGTGTCGCGTCAGAAAAGTGCCTTGTAATGACCAAATCTTACTAACGAGCGCGAATTTGGCTTGTTTGTTAGTCGCTGCACGTGTGGTAATATTTTGGCTCTACGAATTTCACAGGTCAAGAGACATAAAAGTAAGAAAAAAAGAAGGGGAATTTTGAAAATGCTTCAATCTAGACAACTAAAATAAAGTGGTACACCGGTCAACTTTTTATAAAGTGTTTTTACTTTCAAAATCAATTAAACATATTTATTTATCACGTTGAAATTTAATTTTTTTTTAACTTTTTTTAAATAAACTTATCTTATTCCTTCTTTGTCTATTTCTTTATTCAAAGACGCTGTTATAGTAAAATATTTAATTTATTTAGAGCAAAATTAATTATAGAAAAGTCATTTTTAATTCCCATAAGTATATTTTTGTAGCATGGGAACCTATTTAATTGAATATTTAACTTGTTAAATTAACTAATCATTTGAATGCAAAAGCACTGTTCGAATATTAAATTTTCCTTGATTTTTAAAGTTGAATATTGAGATTTTAATTTTTTTTTTTTTTTTTTTTGCATTTTATAAGGATAACACTAAAATTAAACATTCGACTTCTTTTATTTTCTTCGTTCCAATAAATAAAATGCTTAAATTTGGACCATGTGATCAATTGATTTCTCTAAATTCTTACATGGTTAAATCTTTTTTACGAAAACTCCACGCGTCAGCATTTTTCAAATGCAAAAACGAGGTCAATTTGTATCTTTGAGTCACGAATTTTTCCCATTCATCTGTGCACAAAGGACGGCGAAAAAGACTGCACGTTGATCCCTCTCTTTGGAGAGGAAAAGCGAAAAGGGGCGCTGGGAACGAGGAAGAGCGCAGTCGTGATGATAAAAGGCGCTCACACGCATACATACATACGCAGATAGCAGCATATTAAGGTATTCATGGCAACGGTATTATCGTGCGACCCAAAGGGGTGACTTATATCAACAGCCGAGAGGGAAGTCGTTGGTGCTCCCACACACGTCGCGATAACACCCGGCAAGGCAAGCCAACGTACGTACCTGGAACAGAGAAAATTATCGCGTCAGTGAAAGGAATGCATGTTCGGCTTCACTAATAAGGTGGTTGCTTATAATCAGTCAGCTGCATAAATTTATTCGGCGCAAAGATCTTCCACTCGCGCGACTAATGAGCTTTGTGCGCTCGGTGGAATTTGCCCCGGCAGAGGCGAAAGGTTACGATCTTGTGAGTTGATATAGAGGAAATTGCGAACGACGGAGCTCATCAGCGTGAAAAACGAGATGATTAAAATTTGTAATAATTTTTTTGCCATCAATTATTGCAGTATGTGGTGTGATGGCTAATTAAAATACCCAGAGTAGATTTATTCAATCGCAATAATTTTTTCAACGTTAAAAAGTGAGTAAAAAAAAGTTTAAGATGATAGATGCGAAATTTAACTTCCTATTAATATGTTTTATAAGATAAGATTGGCGATATAACAATTCAAAAATAAAAGGAATCCACACAATTAATATTTTAATCTTTCTAAATCTAATTTTTATGTTATGCTGAATTTCGAATATGATCGATTGAATGATTTTAAAAATTTAATGTTTTTAATTAACTGTCCAAATCGAGTATTCTATTAAATTTGGTTTTCATCTGAGCAGCTCAAGTTGAATATATTTATAGATTATAAATTTATATTTTAATTGATATTTTTAAAAAGTACAACAATAGTTAAACTCACTTAAATTTTTTAATAAAAATTGCTAAAATAATTTGAAAATTTTTTAAATTAAATTAATTGAAGCTGCAAAATTTTAAAAATTATTAAATTGTAAATAAATTCAAATAAACGTTATATAAATATTATTTAAAATATTATTTATTATGTATAGTTTGATGATTCATTGATTTAAGAGGCAGAATTATTTATTTAGTTTAAATTTGTAATCTTAAGAATTAAATTAATGTATCCTTACTCTTCACATAATTTAGCTGTGACGGCCGAGACTTTCATTTCCCCGATCCAAGCATGAAATCGTATTTTCTTAATTAAATAATCCAATGGGATTGCTCAACTTTGAAACTGCTCATCTAGCACGTTCGAGATCACAATCTTTCCCATTAACAGAAAGTTCGCTTCTCGAACACAAAAGGATTTAGAATCGGATTTTTATTCACTTTCAAAATGCACGCTCGATTCCTCGCAGCCTTGATGCACTCAGTACAACACCCTACACGCGAATGAAGGAAGGCATGACAATTCAAAAAATACAAAACAGCTAGTGCATGTACTTAATTCAAATGCAGCTCTCGTGCCGCCTCCATTCATCATCCGTGCGCGACACGGCAGTAAATTTACAAAACGCAGCCTACATGTATGTGCAAATCCTACACATTTAAATTTTTGATGCACTCGTTGGCTCCGATAATTAGATTTCAGATCGTTAAGCAAACAGACTGGACAATTGTGCAATGACCGAACGAATTATTGATTCCGCTTTGATTCGCGCATTAATTTATTTATGCATGTGTGTGATGATTAATTACTGGTGTGCTGCGCGATTTGCATAGTATTCTCATTAATTTACCGCCCTGTTGTTTCAACCTTGGGTGGCCTACAAAGGCGAAGCCGGCTTTGATTTCAGACATTAATATTAAATCTGTTTATAATTGCTAATTATTTCAATTTACAAGTACAGTCAAATGAGCTGACCGGGAATATATGCATCAGTGTAATGTAATTTAAATTACAATATAAAACAACATATAAAATAAAAACTTTTCCAAGTATTCTTTTGATGTTTGAATAAATTTAATCGAATTGGCACTCTGGGATATATGATAAAGGATTTAAAATGTGATATTGCTGGAATATTTTATTGGAAAAATTCATCCACTGACTTACAACAATGAGCTAAAGCAAACTAAAAATTGAGAGATAATTATTGTTCAACAAGAAGATTTTATTTTTTATTCCAATAAATGTATACTGATTGTGAGTCACCTTTTTAATATAATTTTCAAATAATTATAATCAGAAACAAATACCAATCTAGTGGAAAAGAAAAAGCAATAATTTCAAATTTAATTTTCTGCAACCCCAGCCGAATATTATATTCAACCAAAATTGATTAATTTTGAGCACGAATTTAGATAGACACTCAGACAGCACACGTGTCAGTCTGGCATCGAACCCACTTTTTGGCAGAAGTGTCAAATCATGTGTGAAAATCGCGTGCTAAGAGAAACGGCGCGGCTCGAATCACCGCTGCGCAGCACTCGGACGCTTTCGCACATGAGATTTGAAGTATGGTCGATAAGAATCTCAAAGGAGCATCGAGTACCTACACACACACGACTCATCACCTTCGGTGCTTTTTTTTACAATAAATTTTATATATTATAAAAGGCTCGAGTGGAGCAGAAAAAAACGCTGCATAATGGTGGAAGTTAATCTGGGTTATGCGCACATCATCCGCAAGTGGCGGTGTCTACAGATAATAATACATGCCCTCGATCAAAACACGTTAAAGGCGGTTTCTCGGGAATGCTGAACCTCCGACGGTGCTTTGCATGCAAAGAGAAGCCGACCGTTTTCGCAACGAAAAAGAGATAAATCTCCGCGAGCAACACGCCAATTTCTGTTGTGACGCTGCAGCTTTTTTGGCCAAACGGCTTTTTACTTTGATCAGGAAATGTTGCAGATCTTGGAGAAGGAAAAGAAAATCCAAGCAGGGTGAAAGGAAATCTGAGCCCACATCACTTTTCTAAATTTCTTACAGTGGTCAAATTTTTCTGTTAAAGTTATTTAGCTGGTTTTGGACAAATGCGTCCTTAAAATATATGATTTTTGTAGTCGCTTTGTACAGACTATTTTAAATTTTTTATTTATTTGCATGCCCTTTATTCAAATTTAGCAATATCATGTTTTTTTCTGTAATAAATGGAGCAAAAAATAATTTATGGCCATTTTATTGTGGTTTCAAAATCTTTCGTAGATAATTCAAAATTCACACAAGCATATATCCCCTGGCAACGAGACACATAAGATATATTTAGTTATAAAGTTATTTAGTCTGAGGTACATTCCTTAAAAAAATATTTAAATTTTATGACTTATTTTTATTTTATAAAAATTTGCTTCAAAATATAGCAAAAATTAAAATTGCGAAAATTCTTGCATATTAGAATAATTAATTTTTCAACAAAATAAATAAAAACTAATAACGTAATTTAAAATTGAAAATTAATCATTTTTATTATGGTAAAATATAAATATTATTAAAATTATTAAAACAAAGTTATTATTTTTGCAACTTTATTTTAAGCATAAAGCTCCATTTCAAAACTGTTTTGAATAGACTTTTCCTTTCTGTTCTTTCTTCTGCTCCTTTTTTTTACAGTTAAGCAGATTTCAGCTCACATTTCAAATTTACTTAAAAGCCATCTCGATTTAAGCTTAGGTCTGGCAGCAGCAACTTCTGACTGCGCTGCTACTTTTGCTAAACCTACACCTTTCTCTCTTCCTTCCCGAGCAACTTTTTCAATTTGGAAAATCCGCTCGACTGGGCCGCTCATCCCCTGCCAGAATAAAGACGCATTTCGCAGCTAGGGTGCGCGTGCAAGGAAAAGAAATCTGCAGACACCCCAGACCGAGCGACCGACACATGCCTGATCTACTTATCGATTTCTTATATCCGAACGAAGAGGCTAAAATAAAAGAAGCGCCTCGGGGATTATGATAGGGCTATGAACTGCTTGATGAATTGCTCGGCCTTCTGCTTTCCATTTCACGCCCAAGATGGAAAAAAAATCCCACCACCTTTCATATAAAAATGGCGTGGGAGGAATGTAAAAAAAGTCACCCCGAAAAGACTGAGAACTTTCTGCTGGGCGAAAAAGTTTTAACAAGCCTTCTTCTTTTTTTAGACCATCATCATCATCACGGCCATCATTCAGCTGAGGAAGAAAATTTCAGGATGACCGGCGCTGCAGTTTTGAAAGGGGCCAGGCGAAATTGCGCAGATATTGCGTGGCCGCCCCTGCCTGGCCAATTACACGAGGCAATTATCGCTAATTCAAATAGAATTTCCTGCGCACGTGGGGGTGGTCGAGAGCAACAGACGCGCTGCCGGTTTTATTTAGGGAATTTCGGGAGGCGGGCGACCAATCTGTCATGATTCAGTCAAGCTTCCGCCTTACTTAATTTATCAATTCGGAGAGACTACTCGTTTTTTTATGCTTGCAGGATGTCGCCCCTGCAATTGAGCGCAGAGATGAATTCTCATGTTTCTTGTGAGAGTTGTTATTTATTAATACACATCAAAAACGTCAGATATATGAATGTGGGAAAGAAGATGGATTCAATGGTGTCCAAATTAAATCAAGATTATGTTTGTTTCTTTGGAGCTAAAAGTTAAACATGTAAATCAAAGTATTTACCGGTTTTTACAAAAAAGTATTTTTACTTATATAATTTTATAATTTTAAAATTTAGTTAATTGTCGTTATTTACTATTAAAAATATTATAAAATTTTATAATGTTTTATTTTTCATTTTTCTTTTTCAAATCATCATTGCGCATTTTATTTTAAATATACATAAATAATGTGAAACTGAGGAATGTTATAATAGAATCTTATTCTACTCGAACAATCATCTTTTTACAATTTAAGTTACAATTTAAATAGTTACATAATGAATTGTTAAAAAATATATTATATAAATAATTGGAAGTGTGCAGACAGCAATTATAATACACTTTAAGTAAGGCAAACGCAGATAGAGAATTCTTTTGAGTTCTGATATTTGTGATTATTTTAAAGGTCACGGTTCTTGTATTTTTCATACAGATGGCAACCTCAATCATAATTAATCACCCACCCGTATTAAAATTAATTAATTGATTGTTAGAGGAGGTACAATTACGCTTCAAAGAAAATCCGACTTATATTTTCGTTATTAATTATTATATTAATTTTATGAGAAGCTCACTAATTCCCAGAATAAAAACCATGAAATTTTGACGAATATTTTACATTTGATTAC